GGAGGAGAAGTAGGGGAACTTGAATATTTGATTTCAAGAAGGAAAAACATTTATTTTATAAAACAATTGATTGGTATCAAATTGCATCAATTATTTTTAAAAAAATATTTATTAATGCAACCACCATCTGCTAAAGGGAAAAATATTTGTTTCCATGGTTACATGATACAATTGATTAGCTAATGCTTTAAATTTTAATGTTGGTTCATTAAAATCATGTAAATAATGCCTAACAAAATTAGAGAAATGTCCAACTCAAATAGCGACTGGCACAGCGTAAAGGTTAATAGAAATTCCACATACTTGGGAAAGGATTGCCTGCGAAGATGACTAAAATAGTAAATGAGGAATTCTAAACCAATCTTTATCAGAAATAAATTAGAGTGAGCTAATTATCTATATTTATACTATTTATAAATATCAGCATTAGCGAAAAATTCTTTATTTTTTATTTTATCCCTAATTATTATAATAAAATTAATTATACCCACGTGTATACTATAATCTAATTTTATTTTTTTTACACATATTTGACTTTTAATTTATTTTGGACTCTTTTATAAGAACTTGTAAATTCTTTTGAACTTATTTATTAATAATATAGTAACATACAATTATCTACATCTATACGTAGAATTAATGTTCTATACGTTCAAATATATGTTATATTTTTTTTGTATGCAATAATATAATAATATTATAAGTGATTTAATAAACCTATTTAATAAAATAAATTTTAATAATTCTATAATATCTAGGGTTAATTGCATTGAAGGTCCACAAAGTATGAAGTTTATCTCATTTTGGTCCCCAATATTAATTGTATCATTTTGGTCCCTACAATATTGAATATGCTTCTATATAGTTCCTCAAACAGATACCGTCCAAATTGCTAATGTTTTTTTTATCATAAACTTGTCATGTAATACTTAAATATGGACAAAAAAAAAATTGATAGCTTTTAAACAAAATTTGGGTAACTTTTGACAAAAAATATGTAATATGAGTAGCTTTTTGACCACAATTGGAATAACTTATGATCAAAACTGTATAATTTAGGTAGTTATTTAACAAAAAATTGAGTAGAAATTTGGCCAAGAGTTATCCAAATTATTTTTTTATCAATAGTTAAGTATCACATGACAAGTTTATCATAAAAAAATGTTAGCAATTTGGATGTTATTTGCTTAAGGGAATATATGGAAACATATTCAATACTTTATAGACCAAAATTATGCAATTGAAATATTGATGATGAAAATGAGATAAATCTCATACTTTTGGGACTCTCCGTTCAATTAACCCTAATATATAATTAGATATCAACATGTTTAAAGGGGTCGAAGAGACACCTCAATAAATGATATATTAAATATTCAAAAACTTATAAAGTAAATAAATAGTTAAATTTAATAATATTTAAAATAGAGATTAATTATTTGGCATCTAGTTTATTATTTAATTTAATTACATAAATAATTTATATTTTTTATAAAAATAATATTATTTAAATTTATTAACGTGTAACACACATCATGCATTACTAATTGCTAGTAATTAAAAAAAGAAAGACGAGAACGAAAGGCAAAACACGCATCCTCACATAGAAAGGGATGAAAGTTCAAACCTTTGGCTAAGATTTAGCCTTTGACGTGTTGATTGGAGGGTTGGAGGTCGTAAACTAGGCTAAACCTAATTATTTTAGCTTCTGTTTTTGGGAAAGTAAATTGTTTATCTTCTTGAACTTATGGAGATGTTAAATAGCCAATATTCTTTGCTAAGGCCATTCCAAATTAGGGATTTGTGGAGCATATGACGTTCAGAGTCTTAAATCTAGAAATATGAGATAAGTCTCTTTCTTTTCAACCACTCCAGGAATACACTTTATGCTTTGTAGTGAAATTTTCCAACCATGATGTGTCCAATTCAAACTTGGAAGCAAATTATAGAGGATTTTTGAGTTACCTTCGGACCAACAAAAGTAAAGAATGTTGGGTTCACACAGATTTGATTCTTAGCCTATACTCACCATGTACAGATCTTATGACCCGCCAGACAAAAGTTGTTGACTGGTTCGATCAGGGATAGAGTGTAACCATTTTGAATTGACCCCAGGCATCAATCTCACGATGATACTGCGTATTGGTCCAATAGTCACATTCAAGCCATCCAATCTCTTAAAATTCAGTTNAAAATAGTAAATGAGGAATTCTAAACCAATCTTTATCAGAAATAAATTAGAGTGAGTTATTTATCTATATTTATACTATTTATAAATATCAGCATCAGCGAAAAATTCTTTATTTTTTATTTTATCCCTAATTATTATAATAAAATTAATTATACCCACGTGTATACTATAATCTAATTTTATTTTTTTTACACATATTTGACTTTTAATTTATTTTGGACTCTTTTATAAGNAATAAAATTAATTATACCCACGTGTATACTATAATCTAATTTTATTTTTTTTACACATATTTGACTTTTAATTTATTTTGGACTCTTTTATAAGGACTTGTAAATTCTTTTGAACTTATTTATTAATAATATAGTAACATACAATTATCTACATCTATACGTAGAATTAATGTTCTATACGTTCAAATATATGTTATATTTTTTTTGTATGCAATAATATAATAATATTATAAGTGATTTAATAAAATAAAATTTAATAATTCTATAATATCTAGGGTTAATTGCATTGAAGGTTCCCAAAGTATGGAGTTTATCTCATTTTGGTCCTCAATATTAATTGTATCATTTTGGTCCATGTAATATTGAATATGTTTCTATATAGTTTCTCAAACAGATACCGTCCAAATTGCTAACGTTTTTTTTTATCATAAACTTGTCATGTAATACTTAAATATGGACAAAAAAAAATTGATAGCTTTTAAACAAAATTTGGGTAACTTTTGACAAAAAAAATGTAATATGAGTAGCTTTTTGACCACAATTGGAATAGCTTATGATCAAAACTGTATAATTTAGACAGTTATTTAACAAAAAATTGAGTAGAAATTTGGCCAAGAGTTATCTAAATTATTTTTTTATCAATAATTAAGTATCACATGACAAGTTTATCATAAAAAATTGTTAGCAATCTGGATGTTATTTGCTTAAGGGAATATATAGAAACATATTCAATACATTATAGACCAAAATTATGCAATTGAAATATTGATGACGAAAATGAGATAAATCTCATACTTTGGGGACTCTCCGTTCAATTAACCCTAATATATAATTAGATATCAACATGTTTAAAGGGGTCGAAGAGACACCTCAATAAATGATAGATTAAATATTCAAAAACTTATAAAGTAAATAAATAGTTAAATTTAATAATATTTAAAATAGAGATTAATTATTTGGCATCTAGTTTATTATTTAATTTAATTACATAAATAATTTATATTTTTTATAAAAATAATATTATTTAAATTTATTAACATGTAATGTACATCATGCATTACTAATTGCTAGTAATTAAAAAAAGAAAGACGAGAATGAAGGGCAAAACACGCATCCTCACATAGAAAGGGATGAAAGTTCAAACCTTTGGCTAAGATTTAGCCTTTGACGTGTTGATTGGAGGGTTGGAGGTCGTAAACTAGGCTAAACCTAATTATTTTAGCTTCTGTTTTTGGGAAAGTAAATTGTTTATCTTCTTGAACTTATGGAGATGTTAAATAGCCAATATTCTTTGCTAAGGCCATTCCAAATTAGGGATTTGTGGAGCATATGACGTTCAGAGTCTTAAATCTAGAAATATGAGATAAGTCTCTTTCTTTTCAACCACTCCAGGAATACACTTTATGCTTTGTAGTGAAATTTTCCAACCATGATGTGTCCAATTCAAACTTGGAAGCAAATTATAGAGGATTTTTGAGTTACCTTCGGACCAACAAAAGTAAAGAATGTTGGGTTCACACAGATTTGATTCTTAGCCTATACTCACCATGTACAGATCTTAGGACCCGCCAGACAAAAGTTGTTGACTGGTTCGATCAGGGATAGAGTGTAACCATTTTGAATTGACCCCAGGCATCAATCTCACGATGATACTGCGTATTGGTCCAATAGTCACATTCAAGCCATCCAATCTCTTAAAATTCAGTTATGACTTCTCTCTCTCACTTCAAATACTTATTGCCTTTAAGTCCCAAAAAAAAAAAAAAATTAGATTTCCCCCACTCCTCTCAAGCCAAAAGACAGAAAATCTCCACCTAAAACCAATAAATTGTAATGGGTATCACTGAAAATATTTGATCAAGTACTCAAGAAGCCAAACTTTCTAATGATTTTTCTTGGATTAGGTTTGGGATTCTTCAGTTTAGCTGTTATACTATGGGTAATGGAAGCCTGAGTAACCATCTTTTTGGATCAGGGGCAAAAAAACTTAATTGGGCAATTTGTAGAAAGATTGCTATAGGAATTGCAAATGGTTTGGCTTATTTACACAAAGGAGTGCAGGTGGCAATCATCCATAGAGATGTCAAAGCTAGTAATATACATCTCATCGTTATCGACCAGTTGTTTGAGCCAAAACTGGCAGATTTTGGCTTGGCAAAGTTTACTCCAGATGGGTTGTCTCATACTGAGTACTCGTGTGGCTGGAACTCTAGGTTATGTTGCCCCAGAGTATGCTTTGTATGGACAATTAACAGAGAGAAGTGATGTGTACAGCTTTGAAGTTGTTTTTTTTGAGCTCCGGAGTGGGAAGAAAGCTGTTATTTCGGTCAATGGTGGCCAAGCTTTACTTCTAACAGATTGGGCTTGGTCATTAGTGAGGGAAGGTCGACCACTGGATGTCATTGAAGTAGGCATGGCCATGTTGGATCCACCCGAAGTAACGGAAATATATGTTTGGGTTGCTGTTCTTTCCATGGTTCAAAGTCGCCGTATACGTTATTTAACACATTCAGAATAATCAAAAGAAATTACAAGGGTGTTATCGAAAATATTGGTTGTATGATCCCAACAAATGTCACTCTTTTTTGGAGCCATTATAAAAAATTAGAATCAAATATCACCACATTGTTAAGCTTTCAATATATGTTACTATAATTATTTTGAACATACTAATAATTAATATTAAAAATTTAAAATAAATTTTTTTTTTTGAACATACTAGATAGTAAATTAGATAAATATATTAGATCCCAATGCTACTAAATAATATATTAATGTAAATACAAATATATCTTTTTTTACTTTTAAATTTTATGAAAATACAAACATTTTATCTATTTAGTATTGGTCTAATATTCTGATTACAAAATATTTTATCCATTAAACTAAATAATAGAGGGAAATATAAATTAAGGAAGTGAAGATTGAAAAAATAAAACAACAATATTGGCTTTGTGGGTCTCAATTTGAGTTAAAAAGAGAAAGAGAGAGAGAGAGAGAGAGAGAGAGAGAGAGAGGAGGGGGAGCCAGGGAGGGGGAGTTAAACGAACAAACACAGAGAAAGAGAGAGCGAACTGGGGAGCTAGAGAGAGAACGTGAGTGACAGAGAGAGAGAGAGAGAGTGATCACAAATATCACATGGAACTCGAAGCTTTGCTGCTTGCCTTTTTTTTTTGGCATACTCTATTTTCTTAGTGTGGTCGAACGATTCGCTTCCAAATCGGTATTACACGAATGGAAATTGACCAAACCAACTGAGTTGGTACAGAGTTGGGCCGAGTTGTATCGATTCGCAACCGAGTCAGACGAAAATTGTGTTTTTTCGTAACGTGTATCAGTATCGTATCGTTGGTGGCCGAGGCGGATACAACTCGGCCAATACCTTGAACCATGGTTCTTTCTGCTCTGGCAGTGTTATATGCTAGGCCAACAATGGATACTTGACAATAACAAATCGGTGTCCTTCACCAGCTCTGTTCCTATTTTCAATTCGGTTGGATTGGAGTTTGAGAGTGACCACTAAGATGTGGTCTATGAGAAAGAGTAGGAAGGTTCACCATAACTGCAAGGGTGAATTCCTACAACGAGTTGAGATAATGATCTGCAAATGGCCCTGAATGACGTTGAACCTGAAACAAAGGATTAGGAAAAGGGGGGTCGGGTGTGTACTCAACTATTCCCCTCCGAAGCCCAAGTCAGTTGGCATAAGAGTCATGAATAGAGTATTTTCTGAATTGGAATTGCATAACTTGGACTATCTTTTTTAGGGGAATTTATACCTGATTTTGCAATGATGACAAGTCTTTAAGTCCCATCTCATAATTTAATGGTTTGCACTCATATCCAAGCCTAATGAGTGTCATCCCATCAAATCTTTACAAGACTAATCCCCTCAGGTGAGTGGACCCTTACTCAGCAACAATTGAGCCTTTATGGCCCAATCCCCGGTCATTAAATACCTTTTCTTGGTGCCTCACACCTACGCTCGAGCATTCACTACTCGAGAATAAGCACCCTCGGGGTTCGCCGAGGACATCAAGTCAGCATAATGACACTTAATGCCTTGTAATAATGATTGTCTTCACATTTCTCAAGGACCTAAATTCTCATTAATAACCCTGTCACAGTCACTCAAAACCCCATTAATGAGCTGTCTTATCCTTTTTAATGCTAGGCTTTGAGGGTCACCCTCGGCCTTCCAAGTTATAACTCCTCAGCACTTTTCCCAGGCGCCCTTTGAGTTCCATAACGACTGTAACTGTCCACGTGTTCATTCATTACTGTCAATCCACCTAAAGTACCATCAAATTCCCCCTAACCTCCATTTTCCTTGCGTCATGGCACAAATGGTGCACGGAGAGTGGAGGCTTCCTCAGCACGCCTAAATTTTAAGGGCGATTACCCGCATATCTGGCCCTGGATTTTTAAATTTCCCCTTGATGGCTTGCCTTTTCGATTCTTGCCCATGTAGCAGTCAGTATAAATAGGGGATTTTGTGGCTCATTCGATATTCCTTGGATCTTCGACCTCTCAACCTGTACTTACCTCCTAAGTAGCTCTTTACATTCTCTTCTTCCTCTTTCCTATTATCTTCTTCTTCTTTATATAAATCCTTAATGGCCAACATACGAAGAACTAGGGTTGTAAGGGTCAATTAGGCCTAATGATACAAACAGGTTGAGGAGAACCTAGTGACTCATACCAACATAGAGGTTTTTATTGCCACCTACAACATTCCCAATCCTGTCTTCACCTTCGTTTTCGACCCCAGGTTTCAAAGGGCTGACATGGGTAGTGTAGAACTTATGCCCTTCCACACTAAGGCTATTATGGAGGGGGGGTTAGGTTTCCTCTTCCTCCCCTTCTCTTGAGAGTTCTCATGCACCCGAGGCTCTTCCCCCTCCAGTGCTGCATTAGCTTATTTAGGATACTCATGGGCGTGGTTGCCCTAAATGCTCGACTAGGAGTGAACCTCAGGGTAGATGAGATATTATTTTGCTATGACTTGAAGTTAATCAACAACGATAGATACTACTTACAAGCACAAGACCCCTCCATGTACTTGGTGACACATATGTTTGACTCGGACAAAGGGAACACCCAGGATCTCATCATGCTCAGCGGTAGATGGGGGAGGAGTAAAGGATCAGAGTATGATAGCCTCTTCACCCCAAAGTATCGAGGGATCCAGGTAGGCCTTTTGCCAATTTCATCACCCTCTGGCCACTATTTCTATTTTTATCCTTGTGTTTTTCTTTGTAAAGGGATACAAGAGGGACGCTGCCTAACCTTTGAAAGCTTTTGTTGCTTTTGACGATCTTATCAAAGTCTGGTCTTACAACCTTGGCGACCCTTTTGCTTGGGCAGCTCACGTGTTCCTTGGAAATCGCCCTGGCCATACCAGATTCTCCCATCCTTTGACCCTTCCATCTTGGTGGACCGTTACTCAGAAGAAGGAGAGAAGTACCTTGAAGAAGACCCCGCCGTGACTATGAATCCACTCCAACACACTCTCCTTCAGCCAAAATGTTTCGCATCCCCCCATTGGTAGGAGGGCCCTAATCTTGAGGTCTAGTAATCCCTCTGGCATCGCGCCGATCAACGTACCTTCACCCCACTCCTCCTTTGCGTCAGCAGGAGCCCCAACAACATCAACAACAATAGGAAATACCCCTGAGGGTTCAACATCAGCATTGGGCGCCAAGATGAACCCTCAGAATGAAGTGGCAATCGGCAAAGGCAGCACCGTGGTCGGGAGGTCGACCCAACTGTTGAGCGTCGAGTCAAACAGTGTTATGACGTCCCGACACCCTCTGGTTTTGGTGAATGGGCCCCCTAAGCCGTCATAAGAAAGGGGCAGACAGTCCTAGAGTCTGACTCCATTATCCATTCCCCTGACGTGGCTCTGGTTGTTAGCGGGACCTTGCACTTTGACACCGACATGGCAATTTTGGATGACTATGGAGACAATCGCCTTCTCTAGGGAGTAGCCCGGCATAACTTGGTGGTAAGAAGCACTTACTAATTCTTTCCTCTGACGTCTTCCTGTTGTGATTGTGTATTCAAAATTAGGCTTTCTTTCCCTAGGCTTGCCAATAAATGGGGGTCATCATTGATCGTTTCTAGGCTTACAGGAGCAGAGCTGACAAGGCTCAAGCCAAGCTTGCAAAGAAGGATATCCACATTGGCCAAGTGGAAAGGACGATCGTCGATCAGTCCAGAAGTATCGCCGACCTGATCCGCAAAGTCGAGGCCCTAACCTCCAAGTTGGACAATAGCAAGCAGGTCGAGGTTGAAGCAGTAAGGAGAATAGAGGAGGCCGAGCTGAAAGTTTCTGCTGTTGAGGCCAAGTTGCTGGAAGTCGAAGCTAACTGCGCTACCCTAACCTCAAAAGTGGAGGCACTGGAGGGAGACAAGGCTAGGGAGACCAAGAAATTGAACACGACCTTCATAGACATGTACAAATAGTGCCATGAGCAATTCATCCCAACCTATTATGATGGGAAGAGGAAATCCTTCAAGCAAGGTTCGGATGACGCGCTTTGAACTTCTGGGGTCTTTGTCGGCTTCGAGCTCTTTGTGATGTATAACATGCCTTAGCAAGGAGTTACTGAGCTCTCGGCCCCTACAGATGTCCAACCAAGTGCCAAAGCGGCTCCCCCGAAACAACAGGCTAAAGAAGTAGGGGAGACAACGACAGAGATAGTGCTGATCACTGTTAGTAATGAATCAGAGGGAATGTCTCCCCTTTGGCTTCCTTCTCCCACTCTTCCCATGCATCCCAGATATCCTTCCATCATCGGCACCCCCATCATCAATATAGGTGGGCCCGAGTTTGGGGAACTCTATGAAATCCTTGGTGTTGGCGAAGGGTCTCTAAGAAGGCACCAGTTAGTGCTCAGCGCTGAAGAGCTCGAAGGCGACCTAGGCAAGGCGGCTAGACCCAAGGACCACTAGAAACTTGAACTTTTTCTTTAATTTTGTTTCTTTTGTATGCCTGGAGGACACACGACCTCCCTTTTATTAATGCATTTTCCTTCCTTTGTAGTGTCTTCTTTTTTATTTTGGTAAATAATGTGTAACTAATTTTTGAACCCTGAGGTTCATGAAATTTTTTTCAAAAACGCACAAGTATGGAGACTTACTCCTAATCGACTGAGTCTGAGGCTTATGTTAATATTTTTGAGGGCGGTGCTCTAAGGATGAAGGCTTACCGCTCTCGGGGCCTTACCCCTAACGATCGAGCCCGAGACTTATGTTAATCTTTTCGAGGGCGGTGCTCCAAGGATGAAGGCTTATCTCTCTTAGGGCATTACCCTTAATGACTGAGCCCTGAGGCTCCTATTANCCGAGTCTGAGGCTTATGTTAATATTTTTGAGGGCAGTGCTCTAAGGATGGAGGCTTACCCCTCTCGGGACCTTACCCCTAACGATCGAGCCCGAGACTTATGTTAATCTTTTCGAGGGCGGTGCTCCAAGGATGGAGGCTTATCTCTCTTAGGGCATTACCCTTAATGACTGAGCCCTGAGGCTCCTATTAATGTTGAGATTTGGCTCTTGAAATCAACTTAGTAGTAATATTTCTTTGAATCTGATAAATTTCAGGGTCGGTTTATATCTCTTCCGTCCATGTCTTGCAGTCGATATGCCTTTGTGCCTCATATGTTAATGATTTTGTACGGACCCTCCCAATTGGGGCCAAGCTTCCCATCAGCGGGTTCTTGAGTATTGCCCGCAACCTTGTGCAATACCAGATCCCCCACCTGAAAACTCCTTGTTCGGACTTTCTTTTTATGCTGCCTTGACAACTCCCCTTGATACTTGGTTAGCTATATAGATGTTGATTATCTTCTTTNGTGGGTTCTCGAGTATTGCCCGCAACCTTGTGCAATACCAGATCCCCCACCTGAAAACTCCTTGTTCGGACTTTCTTTTTATGCTACCTTGACAACTCCCCTTGATACTTGGTTAGCTATATAGATGTTGATTATCTTCTTTCCTCAGCCAAATTAAGATCCCTAGCTAGTGTTTGATCATTGTTTCTTGACTTGAAGGTTTGACTTTGTATAGTCGAGAGCCCCATCTCTAAAGGAATGACAGCCTCAACCTCATATGTCATAGTATAGGGAGTTTCCCCCGATAGAAGTCCTTGGGGTAGTCCTATATGCCCATAGGACATTGAGAAGCACCTCGGTCCATCTGCCCTTAGCTCTCTCCAACCTCTTCTTTATTCCAGCCAAAACTGTCTTATTGGAGACCTCCACTTGCCCATTACATTAGGGATACCCTAGGGTGGAATAATAGTTGCGCATTCTGAATCCCGAACAGAATTTCCTGAATGGCCTACTATTGAATTAGGTTCCATTGTCAAAGACGATGGCTCGAGGGATGCCGAACTGAGTAATCATATTCTGCCATATGAATTTCTTTTTTTCCACATCCCAAATACGACTTAAGGGCTCGGATTCAATCCACTTCGTGAAGTAGTCAGTATTGACAAAGAGGAATTTCTTGCACAAATGAGCNCAGCCTCAACATCATATGTCATAGTATAGGGAGTTTCCCCCGATAGAAGTCCTTGGGGTAGTCCTATATGCCCATAGGACATTGAGAAGCACCTCGGTCCATCTGCCCTTAGCTCTCTCCAACCTCTTCTTTATTCCAGCCAAAACTGTCTTATTGGAGACCTCCACTTGCCCATTACATTAGGGATACCCTAGGGTGGAATAATAGTTACGGATTCTGAATCCCGAACAGAATTTCCTGAATGGCCTACTATTGAATTAGGTTCCATTGTCAAAGACGATGGCTCGAGGGATGCCAAACTGAGTAATCATATTCTGCCATATGAATTTCTTTTTTTCCACATCCCAAATACGACTTAAGGGCTCGGATTCAATCCACTTCGTGAAGTAGTCAGTATTGACAAAGAGGAATTTCTTGCACAAATGAGCCCTCAACAGAGGCCCCCACTATATCCATACCCTACTGATAAAAGGCGAAGGACTCGTGAAAAGGGTTTAGGTCTCCTGTTGATTAACTGATGATGGGAGCAAACTTTTGGCTCTTATCACATTTCTGAACATACCTCTTGGCATATTTCTGTATATATGGCCACCAATACCCTTGAGACATCGAATAGTGTGCGAGGGTGACTTCCACACATTCCCTCATGAACCTCGTACAGCAATGGTTCCACCTTATCCTTGGGAACACAAAGTAATTACGGTCTAGAGAAGGATCTNACTCCCTCATGAACCTCGTACAACAATGGTTCCACCTTATCCTTGGGAACACAAAGTAATTACGGTCTAGAGAAGGATCTCCTATATAGCTTGTGATCAGGGGACATCCAGAATTTGGGAGCTTTTAGTTTGACCTTCCTGGCTTCTTTGACATGCTCGGGGAGTATCCCGTCCATTAAATACTTGATTATGGGGTCCTTCCAACTTGGCGACATGTCCTGGGTGNATTCCCTCATGAACCTCGTACAGCAATGGTTCCACCTAGAGAAGGATCTCCTATATAGCTTGTGATCAGGGGACATCCAAAATTTGGGAGCTTTTAGTTTGACCTTCCTAGCTTGTTTGACATGCTCGGGGAGTATCTCGTCCATTAAATACTTGATTATGGGGTCCTTCCAACTTGGCGACATGTCCTGGGTGCGTGTCGACAATACGTCCTCAACATTTAAGTCCCTTATGCTCGGACTCTCCAAGTAGTCAAAGACAATGTGCTGAGTTGCATTTGAAGCCAAGGCCAAGGCCAAGGCAAGGCAAGGCAAGCTAATGCATCGGTGTGGCTATTGTGGTCACTCAAAATTTGGGACACCTCTATCTTCTTGAACTTCTCCATTCTCGAATTTGCTCTCTGGTGATAGGCTTTCATCCTGTCATCCCGGACTTTGAAGTCCCTATTAATTTGGTTTACCACCAATTNCAAGGCAAACTAATGCATCGGTGTGGCTATTGTGGTCACTCAAAATTTGGGACACCTCTATCTTCTTGAACTTCTCCATTCTCGAATTTGCTCTCTGGTGATAGGCTTTCATCCTGTCATCCCGGACTTTGAAGTCCCTATTAATTTGGTTTACCATAAATTGGGAATCGCAGAAAATATGGAGGTGCCTTACCGTACTCAGCCTTTATCTTCCCTCGTTATTAGATGTTTTGAATCCGAGTCTGATAGCTCGCTCCACTATAAATCCTCCAAAATTGGCCAAGACTGCACCTACACCTGCCCCCCTTGTGTTCGAGGATCCATCCACATGCAAACTCCAAACGTCATCATGGTCAAAAGCTGCTAGTTTCCCCTCTGGTGGAGACTCAAACACACAGAACTCCACAATGAAATCAACAAGGATTTGTCCTTTGATGGAATTACAGGGCTTGTAGCTTATCTTGAACTCTCTTAGCTGCACGTCCTGTCGTCTTGACATATCTGCTTTGTGAAGTATGGGTTTTAGGGGCCGGTCGGTCATTCCTCTATGGGATAGGCCTATAAATGGTGTCTCCTTGTCGAGAAGACCAAGGCTAGTATAAGCTTTTTCATTGGCAGATACCTAGTTTCAGCATCAAGTAGGGTCTTGCTTACATAATAGACTAGCCTCTGTATCCCATTGTGCTCCCTTATAAGAGCCCCATTGATTGCTTATTTTGAGACGGATAGGTAGAGGTTTAGAACTTTACCTGCCACCAAAATGGATAGAGTTGGAGGGCACCTCAAATACTCCTTGATTCCCTCTAGCGCACGATCGTATTCTTCACCCCAATATCTCTTCGTTGCCCCTTTAAGCATGGCGAAGAACGACTTACATCTATCCGAGGACTTGGAGACAAACTGGTTGAGAGCCGCTAGCATCCCTGTTAATTTTTGTATGTCCTTGACGATCTTTGGCCTTTGTATATCTTACATGTCCTGTACTTGATGAAGATTGACCTCTATGCCACGATGAGTAACAAGATATTCCAAGAATTTGCCCGAGCTTACCCCAAACACACACTTCGAAGCGTTGAGCTTCAGGCATATTTTGGAGCATGACGAAGGTGACCTCGAGGTCCCGAAGATGGTCGGCTTTCACCTTCCTCTTTACCAATACTTCATCAATATATACTTCCATTGTGATGTCGAGTTATCACTTAAATCTCTTATTCATCAGGCGCTGATAAGTAGCACTTGCATTTTTCAAACCAAACGACATCACCGTGTAACAATATATCCTTCAGGATGTGATGTACGTCGTTTTCTCTTGATTGAATTTGTGCAACGGGATTTGATGATAGCCTTCTTGGGCATCCATGGAATTAATACATTCATGCCTCGCGGTCGCATCAACAAGCTAAGTGACCTTTGGCAAAGGGTACTCATCTTTGGGGCACACCTTGTTCAAGTCTGTAAAATCCGCGTAAACTTGCCACTTTCCACCTCTCTTCCTTGCACACATTGTCTTTGACAGCCACTCGGGGAACTAGACATTCCTAATTGATCTAGCCCCGAGCAACCGGTCTATTTCTTCGTCAACCGCCTATACGTGGTGAAGCGCCAACCAACGAGCCTTTTGCTTCACGAGTTTGAACGCTGGATCAACATAAAGTTAATGTCATATCACATCAGGACTTATCCATGTCATCTCGGTTGGGGTCCATGTAAAGACGTCGGCATTCCGACAAAGGAAGTCCATCATATTAGACCTCTCGGTGTTGCCCAACGAAGCCCCAATCAAGAAAAATCTCTCATTGTCCCTGGGATTTAAAAGGACCTTAACCACAGCCTCTGTAGGCTAATCGGCTGGGTCTGTAATGGGATCATCAACACCTGGCCAATCGAACTGTGATTGCTATTTGGCTAACACTACATCGGGGCCATGCTTTTGGGACCTAGCGTTGAGCCTGGTCTTTACTACTGTGTAAAAATAGCTCTTTGATGATGCTTGATCACCGCAAATTTCAATAACTCCC